TGTGCACACACACATACCCCCCGTCACATTTCTGAGATGTCCCGAGGGGGTGCTCACCTGTCACCAAAGTTCCGTCTTCTGTCACCATCATTTCTGTCCATCAGTTACTGGACACCGCCCTGCCGAGTCTAAAACAACCGCAACGTTTTCCCCATACCTCAGATTATTGAGCACATTTTAGCTAATATCTTGCCGAATTCCTACGACAGCATCTATCATCAGATAGTCACTTAACATTTTAAAACATATGGCGACATTCCACGATTACAACTTTTGTTATCTCATTTGTGTTGTCCGGTTCGAGTAGAGTTGCATCAGAATGCTTTCCACCATACCTATGGCTTCTAGAGCTTCACAAGTATAACATACCGTTCCTCACAGTCTATAAGACACGCGTGAGTAGCAATGTTTTCCTTTGCAACGCCTTCCTCGCTATGATTTTCAGGCCAGAGATGCGTTTGCTGCTCCCTCCTCTCCCTGTGCGAAACCATTTCTGTTGACCCGCCTCCCCGTTATGTTCTCGGATGAACGCCAATCACTTTCATCGCGTGACTGGTTGAGTGGATTGTCCCGTCTTGTTTGCATTCGAAAGGTGCCTATCTGCTTGGGTACTGACACGAACAGAGATGTCGTGAAGTACTCGGATCAACCTGCAATGCAGGTTGATCATGGACGTGTTCTTCCCTCAAGCTGTCGCCACGCACAACTATGGGCATCTTGAGGACTTGGATCCGGTAATGTCACCTCGAGTTCGTGTTTAGATTCTGTACTGCCATGCAGTCTTCGGACTCGTCATGAAAACAATTTTAATTTATCAGTGCCCCTTCACCAAACAACTATCGTTCCGTGTCTGATTCCCAAGTACAGTGAACGAAAAAAGTATTTGATCCCCTGCTGATTTTGTACGTTTGCCCACTGACAAAGAAATTATCAGTCTATACTTTTAATGGTAGGTTTATTTGAACAGTGAGAGACAGAATAACAAAAAAATCCAGAAAAACGCATGTCAAAAATGTTATAAATTGATTTGCATTTTAATGAAGGAAGTAAGTATTTGATCCCCTCTCAATCAGAAAGATTTCTGGCTCCCAGGTGTCTTTTATACAGGTAACAAGCTGAGATTAGGAGCACACTCTTAAAGGGAGTGCTCCTAATCTCAGCTTGTTACCTGTATAAAAGACACCTGTCCACAGAAGTAATCAATCAATCAGATTCCACTGTTAAAATAAACCTACAATTAAAATTATAGACTGATCATTTCTTTGTCAGTGGGCAAACGTACAAAATCAGCAGGGGATAAAATATTTTTTTCCCTCACTGTAGCTGATATATATAGTTCATCCAAAATGTGTACAGCACATCGAGATGGAGTTTAATCTTTGCTCTGGTGAGCTGCAACAACACTGTTTAGGCGAGGCAGAGCTTGAAGCATTCTTGCATTTTTTAAATATATTTTTTCAAAAGCTTTTCTTTTAAACTCCAATCGCTTCTCTGATCAGGTCTCAAAGCAGAGTTCTATTCGAGCTATTCTGAAAGAACCCAACTATCCACTTGTGATTATAGAATAACAATCATCACTCCGTTGTGGGAGAACAACCCCCCAGGCCACGCTTGCAAACGAGACTCACCCACGGTCTCTCCTGGGTTCTCGCTCAACAAACTCGACTTGAAACTTAAAATCCACCACAGGGCCGCGAGACCTCGGCACGAATCGATTCCTGCCACCCAAACGCAGAGATGCCCCATTCCTGGACAGTCTGGGTGAAGTCTGGACAGGTGGCAGGCATTTGATCATCGCCGCTCTCTTGGGGACACGGACGAGTCACTCGCATGAAGTCATTGTGCATCTGTGTAAAACTTACAAGCTGGTGGTGGTGAGAGGGAAAAACAGGCTGCTGCATTAGAGCTGTGAGAAGAACACTGCCTAATTGTGTAACCTCAGGGGGAATATATAATATCTGCATATGCTACTCTGTAAGGAAGAATACACTCCCTGTTTGTGTAACCTCAGGGAAAAGCATAATCTCGGAACGTAAAACGATGATAAATAAATACTCCTGATTGCAAAATATTGGGAATAAACGCTCGGTGTAACGGTGGGGAAATTACTCTTTGATGGCCTCACGATAGCAACAAATCGATACCATCGCCTGTGGGTTGGATATCGTGTTGCGAGGCATTATTCCTCCCGTATTAAGCCAATGTGTTGTGACACCATTATTTTTATTTTCAAGCACGTTGTTTGATAAATTTGGACATTCGAAAATTGTTGGGAGGGGGTTGGGTGATTACACGCTTGCTCGAAATCCAGTAACTTGTCGTTGTGTGCGAGGTGGTTCTGGGTAGGGTTTCTCAAAATCTGCTTGGCACTGGGAACATCTCAGCCCCACACCCCTACTGATACAACGCATTCACTTCTCTCTCTAAATACTACTCATAATACTACATCATTCGTATTACATGATTCGTATTAAAGGAACAAATACTGTTTTGTTAATGCAGCGATAAGGTTATTTTTGAGGGGGGGGGGGGAGCATTTATTTCTTAGGTTTATGGAAGTTTCATCAGGGTGGTCGACCTAACTTCATTTTTTTTATTAAATACCACGAGTGAAATATGAATAATATCCGAAACAAAAAGGTGTAAACATTGTCACCACTTCCGGATCAATCTGCCTTTGCATCACGACCACCGCAGACCACCGGGAGGAGCGTCACGGACCAACGATGGTCCCAGGGACCACTCCAACAACCACCGCTGGTACCGGAGTCCTCACTCTGAGAACCACCACTGGTACCGGAGTCCTCACTCTGAGAACCACCGCTGGTACCGGAGTCCTCACTCTGAGAACCACCACTGGTACCGGAGTCCACACTCTGAGAACCACCGCTGGTACCGGAGTCCTCACTCTGAGAACCACCGCTGGTACCGGAGTCCTCACTGAGAACCACCGCTGGTACCGGAGGCCACACTCTGAGAACCACCGCTGGTACCGGAGTCCTCACTCTGAGAACCACCACTGGTACCGGAGGCCACACTCTGAGAACCACCGCTGGTACCGGAGTCCTCACTCTAAGAACCACCGCTGGTACCGGAGTCCACACTCTGAGAACCACCGCTGGTACCGGAGTCCTCACTCTGAGAACCATCGCTGGTACCGGAGTCCTCACTCTGAGAACCACCGCTGGTACCGAAGTCCTCACTCTGAGAACCATCGCTGGTACCGGAGTCCTCACTCTGAGAACCACCGCTGGTACCGGAGGCCACACTCTGAGAACCACCGCTGGTACCGGAGTCCTCACTCTGAGAACCACCGCTGGTACCGGAGTCCTCACTCTGAGAACTACCGCTGGTACCGGAGTCCTCACTCTGAGAACCACCGCTGGTACCGGAGTCCTCACTCTGAGAACCACCGCTGGTACCGGAGGCCACACTCTGAGAACCACCGCTGCCCTAGAACCACCACCCCACAGTTCTCCTAAGCAGCCACTTTACAAATATTCATCCCGGGCGAGAAAAATGACACCCGCAATGTTTAAATTTATAGGGGCAATGTCTAAATGTATAGGGGTTAATTGTTTACACAGAAAATCCAAGAGCATTCTGCATTAGGAAGTTTGGAAAATACCCATTACATAGTACGATTTGTTTTAGCTATGGGAGGGAATCAGAAAACCCAGAGGAAAATGTATGCAGGGAGAACATACAAACAAGATGCAACCAAAACGGACATTGAAAAGAAAGACATCTCATTGGCATCTCACGCATGCCATCAAATGTCAATCAGATCTGAAGAAAATACACAAATACAAGCACCGAGTCTTGGGTTCATTCTTACTGTATTCACCCTTCTAGCTACAACGCACGCGGCGCCATGGAAAACCGGATGCGCATTTGAACAGAGTGAACGCACGTTTGAACAGAGTGCACGCACGTTTGAACAGAGTGAACGCACGTTTGAAACAGAGTGAACGCACGTTTGAACAGAGTGAACGCACGTTTGAACAGGGTGAACGCACGTTTGAACAGAGTGCACGCACGTTTGAACAGAGTGAACGCACGTTTGAACAAGAGTGCACGCACGTTTGAACAGAGTGCACGCACGTTTGAACAGAGTGAACGCACGTTTGAACAGAGTGCACGCACGTTTGAATAGAGTGAACGCACGTTTGAACAAGAGTGCACGCACGTTTGAACAGAGTGAACGCACGTTTGAACAGAGTGCACGCACGTTTGAACAGAGTGAACGCACGTTTGAACAAGAGTGCACGCACGTTTGAACAGAGTGCACGCACGTTTGAACAGAGTGAACGCACGTTTGAACAGAGTGCACGCACGTTTGAATAGAGTGAACGCACGTTTGAACAAGAGTGCACGCACGTTTGAACAGAGTGAACGCACGTTTGAACAAGAGTGCACGCACGTTTGAATAGAGTGAACGCACGTTTGAACAGAGTGCACGCACGTTTGAACAGCGTGAACGCAAGCACCGCCACATACAGAGCCTCCTTAGCCAGGAGTGGGGAAGCCTCCTTCAATCGGCTAACCAGACCCTGACCAATGGCTTGCACGACTTGATTGCACCCAACTGCGTCGCTTCAGCGTGGACATCTCTGCAAGCAGTTGCGAGCAGTTTCGTGCCACTGATTGCTGAAAGTGTATACACGATGCTTTCAAGGGTCCATCTGCTCAGTGGCGACTTGCAGTCATGTGACAACATTTGTGTAATTGCTCGTTACGATCCCAAATGATGCACGGGGTTCAGTTCCTCGCTGTTCAACTGCTCGCTCAGTTCTGGACAAAGCAGCTGCAAGTGACGACTCATAAATTGCGCGATTTCCAGAGCGACTTGGTAGCTGCTCACCCTGCGAACCCAGCTGTGCCGAGCGCCGTACAGCACTTCTCAAATAACTTTGGCAAGGGAAAACTCATTGAATCACACACACATACACTTCTGGCATTGCAAGAGGCATTCTACAGAAGTGTGTGAGCACGCAACATATATATAAACGCAGTTTTATTGTCAGGTTGGCAGAAATAATCATTCCTCTAGGACTTGAATTTTTTTTGTCCGATACTCGGTGATGCACTGCCTTCACGAGATTTACGAATGGATTCAACGTCTCCCAAAAACACTTAGTTACCATTAGGTAACAATTCATACCCCTACTTAAAAACTGGTGTCAGCAGAAAACATGTTTTTTAATGTAATGATCATCGGTCTCCCCATGGTATGAACAAGTTCCGTCTCCAACTCTCATCGTGCACTGTCCCTCTACTGGCCCCTCTATGCATGTGCAATGAAGGGCCATTGCCTGAAACGTCACCTATGTATATTTTTCCTGTTAAGGCCACACACACGCACGGCGTTGTTCCGACATGGAGCGTGTTGAGACGTCTTCGCCATTTGTGCTTGTGCGCCACCACCTAGCGGCAGCATCACCACGTATCCCACCTTGTCACTCATCCTCCTGGAGCTCGGTCCCAAGCCAGCCGTTCCAAGCGCCGTGCGTTCCAAGGCAGAGAATCAGAACCGCATCGTTTGAACTGGCATCGCCATAAAACACAACCGATGAACGACCACGGAGACTTTAACAGGATAACGATTCTCGCCCTTGGTTTCTGCGTCTTGAGCAGAATAAACAAGATCGAAACAAGCTTAAATTTAAAAAGACAAAGCTACGCTGAAACAATTCTAGGTAATGCAATTCAAGATACGTAAAAACATTATAAAAAGTAAGCTGTATACATTGGACAAAACCTATTTGCTACGATCACTATATCGTGAAATAAAATCACATCCAAACATTTGCAAAACATCACACACTCCGAAGACTTAATCAATTTTTAATGATCATTATTATTAAGAATATGCAAGGAAGCTGCCACAGTGCCTGTGTCGTAACGGTGAGCAGCACGCTGAGCGCGTGGGTTCGATTCCATCTCCCAGGCGGACCGCTTCATCGTCACCAACGCCAAGAGCTCAAAGTGGCACTGGACGACGGCGGTGAGTGGCCCTCGCCTCGCCCGGCCTCCCCGCGGCCACCAGACAGGACGTGGAGCAGGCCGAGGTTGCGGCGAAGGGCGGGGAGAGAGCTCGGCCACAGGGAGATCGCGTGAGGGTTAGGGACGGTTGGGGTTCGATTTTGGGATAGGGAGTGTTAGGGATGGTCGAGGAGGGGCCGGGGAGCTAAGGGCGGCTCGCAAGAGGCCCGCGGGGCGATCGGCAAGAGTCGAGGGAGCTGTCGGTCGAGAGAGTGAAAGCCGTCGCGATAGAAACCACCGCTCTGCCCGTCACCAGCAGCGCAACCATCGAAAGGGAAACACGCTCCTAGTAACCATCGTCATCGCCGCCACGGACGTGCGTCGTTACCTCGCCAATTCGAGATAAGTAGTAAGGTAAGCAAAGGTAATTAAGGAGCTAAATGATAAATACAGAGAGCGATCTTGTGATACGAGGTATGATGACTGACGTTGTTGTCCATACAGTAGGTTGCACTAAACTTGTATTTGCTCCGCGACTCTTGTTACCACGATCGTACGATCCGAATTATACGATGCTCCGGAAAATAATCATGGATCTCAATTGGGCCTCACCTGGTGAAGTAAAGCCAATACACTACTAAATCTCCATTAATGCCTCAGCTGGTTAAATCGGGCTAGGGACTGAAACTCAATTGGGCCGTATATTTGGTTACATCAAGGCTACAAATTGAATTTGCATTGGTTAAATAAAGGACAATTAAATATAATTTTAATCGGCCCATGCGTGAATCAATTAAGGACTCTAATGAAGAAGCCATCTAAATGGGCTCTCAGCTGGCTCAATAAAGGACACGGGGTACAACATTATCCACGTCGCCTTCACAACTGGGTTCTGCAGCGTTGTTCGGGTCGCTAAGATTCTTATTCTTCGGTCTTTTGGTGAAGTCATGTCGATAGGTTCAAAGAAAATAACAAAAAAATAACAAAAAACTACGACGTTTCGATCGCAGCACAAGCAATCGTCATCAGGAGAAAAAACGCCAAGGTTCTTGTTCGGTCGTCTCTCTAACGTTCAGGATGCATGTATAGGTGGTGCACATCATCATCAGGCAGAGTACTTGAATCTGTTTCCTGAAACGATATAAAGGTGCACACATGCACGTACACGCACGTACACGCACGTGCACACACGCACGAGAGAGTGGGTGAGTCGCTCTACAAATGAGTGAGTGGGTGAGTCGCTCTGTATGAAAGAGTGAGTGGGTGAGTCGCTCTGTATTTATGAGTGAATCACTCTGTATGAATGAGTAGGTGAGTCGCTCTATGAATGAGTGGCTGGGTGAGTCACTCTCTATGAATGAGTGAGTGGTTGAGTCGCTCTATGAATGAGTGAATGGGTGAGTCACTCTATGAATGAGTGAGTGGTTGAGTCGCTCTATGAACGAGTGGCTGGGTGAGTCACTCTGTATGAATGAGTGAGTGGGTGAGTCGCTCTATGAATGAGTGAGTGGGTGAGTCACTCTATGAATGAGTGAGTGGTTAAGTCGCTCTATGAATGAGTGAATGGGTGAGTCACTCTATGAATGAGTGAGTGGTTGAGTCGCTCTATGAATGAGTGAGTGGGTGAGTCACTCTATGAATGAGTGAGTGGTTAAGTCGCTCTATGAATGAGTGAGTGAGTGGTTGAGTCGCTCTATGAATGAGTGAGTGAATGGGGGAGTCGCTCTATGAACGAGTGGCTGGGTGAGTCACTCTGTATGAATGAGTGAGTGGGTGAGTCGCTCTATGAATGAGTGAGTGAATGGGTGAGTCGCTCTATGAACGAGTGGCTGGGTTGGTGCTCACCTCACACGTCCGGAGAGCGATCCTGAAGCGGCTTCTTCTCCTCCACCCCGCTTGGCCGTACTCGCTGCCCGCTGTTGGCCTTGCTGTCTCTGATCCACAGCAAAACAACAACAACAATCCAGAGTCAGAATGTATTTGTTTTTAGTAATATGCCAGTGTGTGTCGTGGTGCCCTCCTCCACCCAGCATGGACAAAGTTGCCCCGTGAATGCACACGCCCATCGGTAACGCTTCATCTCGCCGGTTGCGCTGGACGTGAAAGTCCACGCGCATTTAACAACTACGTCGACTCGTAACGCTGCATCACCCCCACCGCATGGTACCCGCTCATCGCTCCATACCGACAGAGAGAGGGAGCCACTCAGAGGCGCCAGGAGCAGGAGGAACTGCACACGTGGAGTGGGGGAGACAGCAGCAGCGGCCATGCGGTGGTGAGGAGCTGGCACGTCCAACAATTGCCCAAGCTCTGCGGTCCTCTATACATTAGGGCGTCATCGGACTATAAATGGGTTGTTTATATGTGCGAGAGGAAACTGGAGCACCCGGAAAAAACACACACGTGTGCGAGGGGGCAACGCTCTATCCCGTGCAAACAGAACAGATGGAATCCACATTTTAGCTGTGCCGCATACTCCTAGCAGAGTCAGGGAACGGCTCCTCGACGCCCACGGGAAGGGAGTTTTACAACATCCACCAACCCTCGCTGCTGCCGCCTCCAAAGCACTCGGCTACAGCAGCCACGTTGAGCAGCAGAGCCACCACCACCAGCACGGCCCGGATGAACAAGGCACGAGGTTTCGTAAGGCAGTTACAGCCGTCATCATCAGCCATCATCATCAGGCGATGGCTAGAAATGGGACAAAGTTCTCCAGTCTTGGGCCTTAAATATGTGGTGTGATGTCACCAACACACCCCCACAGGCAAGCAGGCAGGAGCAGGAAGTGATGCTTAGAGGTTTTTCTTTATGCGCAAACGTTATAGATTGTGTCAGATTGGCCTAGGGATCAACAACGTAAGCATTGTAACACAACAATCAACACAGCACAACTACCACAACAACGTAGGGACGAGCACAGGTGAATTTACAGATGAGCGAATGTATAGACGCATGAGCATGCAGATGTGTATAGAGGTGAGTGTCCAGGTGACTGTACAGGTGAGTGAGAATACAGGTTAGTTAGTGTACAGGTGAGCGAGTGCACAGGTGGGTGTGTGGTTGGGAGGAGAGGTGTCCCACGCGCGTCTCACATGTTGCTGGAGCCCGACCTCTGCCGCCTGTACCAGTAGTAGGCTCCCAGCAACAGCAGGCTCACCAGCACCACGGTCACCACCAAGGCCACCACCACGGGCAGCAGGTACGACGATGAATTCTGCGGGGCTGCGCGGGGACACGCGGGAAGAGACGAGGCGACGTGTGAACTGCCACGGGACGCGAGTCAGCGTCGTTGGCAACAGACGGTGGGGGAAATTCTTTCCCCAGTCTCTCTGCACGACCGCCGAGCATGGGTCCCGGGGTTTCGCTCGCTCCCAGAGTGACTTCACACGGGAGGAGTTGCGTTCGTTCAGCCTCATTGAGAGCGATCGCGACCCCACTTCACACACACACACACGGACGGACGGTACTAAAACAAACAAACGCTTTACCTGCCGTTGCAGCGATGGGCGTCGGGTCAGCTGCAACGACAGGAAGAGGAGGTGAGAGCGAGAAATCGACACCGGGATCACGAGTCGCTCCATTACATTGGCCAGTCGCCACCGCTGCCGTGGAGAGGACCGAGCATACCCCCCCCCACCACTCTCACCCCCTCCGTACCCGTGGAGAAGAAGAAGCGATGCTCGCTCTCGCCGTGGGCGTTGGTGGCCACGCACGCGACCCCGCGGCTTTTCAGCTCCGAGGTCACGATGACCTCCACCGAGCTCCTCACGGAGCCGTTCGCGAACGCCTGCTCCTGGGGCTGCACGAGCAAAGACAAAGGTCCCCCGTGTAGATGAACACGCCCTGATGGGGCAAGGGCTGCGAGCGAGTGAGCGCCTGTCAAGGTCGCACGACCTCAGGGTGATGCCAATGCTCTGGTAGCAGGAGCCAGAGCCGGTCCACCGGACCTCCTGAATACCACAGAGATCCAGGTGGTACCGGTCCAGCTTCCGATAGAGGAGTGGCAGCCTCTCCTCCGCAGTGAGCGTTCGAACATTCCACGTGGCCATCCGTAGTGGCTTTTTGTTGTTTCTGGAAGAGCCCCAAAGGTAAAGATTCAATCTTCTGGCTTCGCCAAATGGGATTTGGCCAGGAGACGTCAGAGATCCCTGTCCCTTCGGAGCCGCTGGCACAAGCTTGTTAATTACATTTTTCATTTGTGGTTTAGTGGTAATTAATTGAAGGTGGAGGGGTTACTAGCCCCTTGCACCCGTCCAGAGCCCCCATTTGGCCGCTGTGGTGGTTACAAACGTCATGAGGGAAAAGGCCAATCGGAATTGGCCCTCCCCCCAACAGCACCGTCCACGACAGCGTTGCCCATCCGGCACCACGAGGAGGTAGGGGGTTGTTTTTGCCCACACACACCCAAGCACACACACAGACACACGCGTCCACACACCCACACACACACCCACCCAAGCACACACACAGACACACGCGTGCACGCACACACGCACCACGGTGAGGATGTTCCATGTGAGGATTGGGGAGGGCGGCCCATGGGCCTGGCAGCTCAGCACCAGCTGCTGGTCCACGGAGCTCAACACGACCGTGTCCAGCGCCACAATGCTTGGCTTGTCTGCATGCACGCAGACAGATACACAGTCACACAGACACAGGTTCCCCGAGTGACCTACAACAGGCTGCTGGGGCGAGGCCCGCTCAAAAGCGGCGCCTATGAAGGCCGACACGGCACACGAGGTGGGGTGGGTGGCCAGCACCACGCCTGCCTGGCTGCCTTCGTCTCCCTAGTGGCGACGTTCTATTCTACACTCCGCACCAGCTACTCATTTGAGGCCGAGTAAACCTAACAGAGGCACCAGGCCAGATATTCACTCTCTGATGTTAGCCGTGAGCGGGAACCGAACTTGGATTTTGCCGCGTTCATAGAGCAGCACCAAACAACGACAGCCACGCTCCCCGCAGCACACGCATGTATGGATTACCTATACAAACACACCCATACATATACACACGCTTCATGCGTAACCGGTAACCACGTGAAATAAACAGTTATATAAAAAAACAAACCACCACCGCCAAAGCAGAGACGGGCGGTGGTGATAGTGGTTGCAGTGGTAGCAGTGGCGGCGGTGGTGATAGTGGTTGCAGTGGTGATAGTGGTTGCAGTGGTAGTAGTGGCGGCGGGGTGGTGATAGTGGTTGCAGTGGTAGCAGTGGCGGCGGTGGTGATAGTGGTTGCAGTGGTGATAGTGGTTGCAGTGGTGATAGTGGTTGCAGTGGTGATAGTGGTTGCAGTGGTGATAGTGGTTGCAGTGGTGATAGTGGTTGCAGTGGTAGCAGTGGCGGCGGTGGGTGATAGTGGTTGCAGTGGTGATAGTGGTTGCGGTGGTGATAGTGGTTGCGGTGGTGATAGTGGTTGCGGTGGTGATAGTGGTTGCAGTGGTAAGCAGTGGCGGCGGTGGTGATAGTGGTTGCAGTGGTGATAGTGGTTGCAGTGGTAGTAGTGGTTGCGGTGGTGATAGTGGTTGCAGTGGTGATAGTGGTTGCAGTGGTAGCAGTGGCGGCGGTGGTGATAGTGGTTGCAGTGGTGATAGTGGTTGCGGTGGTGATAGTGGTTGCGGTGGGTGATAGTGTGTGCGGTGGTGATAGTGGTTGCAGTGGTAGCAGTGGCGGCGGTGGTGATAGTGGTTGCAGTGGTGATAGTGGTTGCGGTGGTGATAGTGGTTGCAGTGGTGATAGTGGTTGCAGTGGTAGTAGTGGTTGCGGTGGTGATAGTGGTTGCAGTGGTAGCAGTGGCGGGCGGTGGTTGTGGTGGCAGCGGTGGGGCTCCCCACGTGGGGGCCAGCGGAAGCGGAGCCCAGGCCCGCGACGGCCCCCCCTAGGGGCGGTAACCGGTGCGGCCTCGGCCCGCTGAACCTTCGACGGAGACTTTGATGGTGGCGGAGCGGAGAGCCGCGGGCACGCTGGGAACGGTGGCGTTGCCACCTGTAGAGGCCCGAGTGGGCCAGCTCCGCGTTGGCCAGGTGCAGCTCGTGGCCCCTCGGACAGCCGCTGGAGCCCTGCGCACCACGCACACAAAAGCCCCCTCCCCCGTGTTAGTCTTCGACCTGCGCACCACGCACACAAAGCCCCCCCCCCCCCCCCCCCCACCGTGTTAGTCTTCGACCGCCGGGCGTTGGCGCGGACCTCCCGTCTCGACCCCCGCACCGGCTACTCATTTGAGGCCGATTCAACCGCAGGGGAGGCCCAGGACCTCGCGCGTCTCCGCCCATTGGCCGCTCGGCGTCAGTCGGTGCGCGTCGAGGACGCGTCACCCGACCACGGTGCCCGTTGATGGATGTCATCGGGGGCAATGTCCACGACGACGTCGATGGGGGTGAGGTTGCCCACCTTCCACCAGGTGTATTCGATGGAGCCGACCCCTTGGTGGAGCAGGAGAGCGACGCGGTCCTGACCGCGCAGCACGGTTAGGGGACCCACGGGGCTCAGCCAAACGTCCTCCAGATCTGAGGGGGCATGGGGAGACGGGGGGGGGAGACACGGGGGGGGACACACGAGGACATGGAGAGACACAGGGACACGCTGAGACTGAGTCCGTCATCTCCCTGTGCCCCTCGTGTCTCAAAGTGCATGAGCAGGTTGATCGTCCCCATGACCATGTCCCTCTGTGTCCTGTATCCCCGCATGTCCCCGCGTCTCCCCCACGTGTCCCCCAAAGTCCCCGCGCATCCCCCACGTGCCCCCTCAAGTCTGCGCGTCTCTCCCGTGTGGTCACCGCGGTCTCCCCCACGTGCCCCCTTCGTCTTCCCCACGTCCCCACAAGTCTGCGCGTCTCTCCCGTGTGTCCACCGCATCTCCCCACACGTCCCGACGTGTCTCCGCCTCCCCAGCGTTTCTCCCACGTGTCCCCTCATCATCCCCCACGTGTCCCCTCATCTCCCCCACGTGTCCCCTCATCTCCCCCACGTGTCCCTCATCTCCCCCACGTGTCCCCTCATCTCCCCCACGTGTCCCCTCATCTCCCCCACGTGTCCCCTCATCTCCCCACGTGTCCCCTCATCTCCCCACAGTGTCCCCTCATCCCCCACGTGGCCCCTCATCTCCCCCACGTGTCCCCTCATCTCCCCCACGTGTCCCCTCATCTCCCCACCGTGTCCCTCATCTCCCCACACGTGTCCCCTCACCTCCCCCACGTGTCCCTCATCTCCCCCACGTGTCCCCCTCATCTCCCCCACGTGTCCCCTCATCTCCCCACGTGTCCCCTCATCTCCCCCACGTGTCCCCTCATCTCCCCCACGTGTCACCTCATCTCCCCCACGTGTCCCCTCATCTCCCCCACGTGTCCCATCATCTCCCCCACGTGTCCCCTCATCTCCCCCACGTGTCCCTCATCTCCCCCACGTGTCCCCTCATCTCCCCCATGTGTCCCCTCATCTCCCCCACGTGTCCCCTCATCTCCCCCACGTGTCCCCTCATCTCCCCACGTGTCCCCTCATCTCCCCCACGTGTCCCCTCATCTCCCCACGTGTCCCCTCATCTCCCCCACGTGTCCCCCTCATCTCCCCCAAGTGTCCCCGCGTCTCCCCCCACGTGTCCCCACGCATCTCACAGTGCACGAGCAAGCTGATGGTCGCATGGTGCCGCGGGAGGTCGGGGAAGTCGAGGTCGAAGCCGGAGCAGAGGTAGCGCCCCGAGTCCCCTTGCGACGCCGACTCGAGCACCCAGCTGGGTTCCATGCCTGTCTGCAGCTCCTCCTTCAACACCTCCTCGTCCACCTCCTCCCCCCCCTCCTCCTCCCCCTCAAGGGACAACATGGGCAACGACATCACATAACCAGTAGAAACGTCACCAGCAAAGTCACCAGCGACATGGTAAACATTTAGCAACATTAACATCATTCTCAACGTCACCCTTGCACAGCGAGTCGGTGGGTGGGTCAGTGAGTGGATGCGTGAGTGTGTTTGTCGGTGTATGGGAGGGGTGTGCGAGCGGATGGGTGAGTGTGTGGGTGGGTAGGTGAGTGCGAGTGAGCGAGTGAGCAGGTGGACGGATGGCTGGGTGGCTGGGTGAGTGGGTGAGTGAGTGGGTGGACGTGTGAGTGGATGGGTGAGTGTGTTTGTCGGTGGGTCTGAGTGTGTGGGGTGGGTAGGTGAGTGGGTGGGTGGGTGGCTGGGTGAGTGAGTGAGTGGGTAAGTGGGTGGGTAAGTGGACGCACAACGGAGCGAGAGAAGGTGAACTCAGGAGCCGGGTTCCCGTCCGCCGCGCAGTGAAGGGTGACTCGGTCTCCCACCACCACGGGGCCGCGGGGACTCACGGACAGCGAGAGTCTCTCCGTTGGGTCTGACACGCGCACAAAGACAAAGATCCCCTTGTAGCCTCCACAGACAAGTTGGGGGCAAGTGCTGTTAGCGAGCACCTATGAAGGCCGGCACGGGACACAAGGGGGTGGGTGGCCAGCACCACGCCCAGCCGCCTTTGTCCTCCCCAGTGGCGATGTTTACATACCGCACCCAGGCACTTTATTTGAGGCCGTGTAGACCTCAGGGGAGGACCAGGACCGGTTGAGAACGTTCGTCACGATGTCGGCGCGAGTGGGAATCGAATTCTGGTCGCCGGCTTCATATCAGTGCGCTAACCGCTGCACCACCACTCCCACAAAACACATGCTCCACACACACAGCTGGACAGATGGCAACCATAATCACAAGGATTACAGAGACGTACCTACAAAAAGCACACAAATAAATGACTACAACACAGGTGACTGTGTGACCATGTGAGTGTATGGGTGAATGAACAACAAGGTAAATGTAATAGGTGAGTGAGTTGTAGGTGATTTAGCATAGAGGTGAGTGAGTATGTAGGTGAGTGTGGCAGGAAAGTGTACAGGTAAGTGAATGACTGTACAGGTGAGTTTACAGGTGAGTCTACAAGTGAGGTGTACATGTGGAGTGAGTGTGTAGGTGAGGTGAGTGTACAGGTGAGTGAGTGTACATGTGATTGAGTGTACATGTGAGTGAGTGTACATGTGAGTGAGTGTGTAGGTGATGTGAGTGTACATGTGAGTGAGTGTACAGGTAGTGAGTGTACATGTGAGTGAGTGAGTGAGAGTACATGTGAGTGAGTGTACATGTGAGTGAGTGTGTGAGTGAGTGTACAGGTGAGTGAGTGTACATGTGAGTGAGTGAGTAGGTGAGTGAGAGTACATGTGAGTGAGTGTACATGTGAGTGAGTGTGTGTGTGAGTGTACAGGTGAGTGAGTGTACATGTGAGTGAGTAGGTGAGTGAGTGTACATGTGAGTGAGTGTGCAGGCGAGTGAGTGTGTAGGCGAGTGAGTGTGTAGGCGAGTGAGTGTATAGGTGAGTGAGTGTACATGTGAGTGAGTGTGTAGGCGAGTGAGTGTACATGTGAGTGAGTATACAGGTGAGTGAGTGTGTAGGTGAGTGAGTGTGCATGTGAGTGAGTGTGCAGGTGAGTGAGTGTACATGTGAGTGTATAGGTGAGTGAGTGTACATGTGAGTGAGTGTGTAGGTGAGTGAGTGTACATGTGCGTGAGTGTATATGTGAGTGAGTATACAGGTGAGTGAGTGTACATGTGAGTGAGTGTACATGTGAGTGAGTGTGTAGGTGAGTGAGTGTACATGTGAGTGTGTAGACGAGTGAGTGTATAGGTGAGTGAGTGTACATGTGAGTGAGTGTATAGGTGAGTGAGTGTGTAGGCGAGTGAGGTGTACATGTGAGTGAGTATACAGGTGAGTGGAGTGTGTAGGTGAGTGAGTGTACATGTGAGTGAGTGTGTAGACGAGTGAGTGTATAGGTGAGTGAGTGTATAGGTGAGTGAGTGTACATGTGAGTGAGTGTGTAGGCGAGTGAGTGTACATGTGAGTGAGTATACAGGTGAGTGAGTGTGTAGGTGAGTGAGTGTGCATGTGAGTGAGTGTGTAGGTGAGTGAGTGTACATGTGAGTGTATAGGTGAGTGAGTGTACATGTGAGTGAGTGTACATGTGAGTGAGTGTGTAGGTGAGTGAGTGTACATGTGAGTGAGTGTGTAGGTGAGCGTACAGATGAGGCTGATGTTGACTCCCGACGAGATCTGGTGGTGGTAGCGGGCACTGGTACACGGAGTTTGCATCCTTGGCGGCTCGGGCGGTAGTAGAGTTCAGAGGTCACGGTGTAGAGACCCAACGACTCCTTCTCCTCGTGCACCCTCCATGTACAGCTCTGGGGACACGCAGAGGACAGGAGTCAGAGGCACGTGGAGACATACGGGGATACTTGGAGACACGCGAGGACACGGGGAGACGAGATACTGGGGGGACACGGGGGGGACACGGAGACACTGGGGCCAGAGGCACGTGAAGACACAAGCATAAATGCGGAGATAGAGATGGGGAGACAGAGGACAGGGAGACAGAGGGACAATGAGGACAGAGGGACAGGGAGACAGAGGGACAGGGAGACAGAGGGAGAGGAAGACAGAGGGACAGGGAGACAGAGGGACAGGGAGACAGAGGGACAGGGAGACAGAGAGACAGGGAGATAGAGGGACAGAAAGACAGAGGGACAGGGAGACAGAGGGACAGGGAGACAGAGGGACAGGGAGACAGAGGGACAGGGAGACAGAGGGACAGGGAGACAGAGGGACAGGGAGACAGAGGGACAGGGAGATGAGAGACAGGGAGACAAGGGACAGGGAGACAGAGGGATAGGAAGACAGAGGGGACAGGGAGACAGAGGGGACAGGGAGACAGAGACAGGGAGACAGAGGGGACAGGGAGACAGAGGGACAGGGAGACAGAGGGACAGGGAGACAGAGGGACAGGGAGACAGAGGGACAGGGAGACAGAGGGACAGGGAGACTGAGAGACAGGGAGACAAAGGGACAGGGAGACAGAGGGATAGGAAGACAGAGGGACAGGGAGACAGAGGGACAGGGAGAACAGAGACAGGGAGACAGAGGGACAGGGAGACAGAGGGACAGGGAGACAGAGGGACAGGGAGACAGGAAGGGACAGGGTGACGAGAGGGACAGGGAGACAGAGGGACAGGGAGACAGAGGGACAGGGAGACTGAGGGACAGGGAGACAGAGGGACAGGGGAGACAGTGGGACAGGAAGACAGAGGGACAGGGAGACTGAGAGACAGGGAGACTGAGGGACAGCGAGACAGAGGAACAGGGAGACAGAGGGACAGGGAGACAGTGGGACAGGGAGACAGAGGGACAGGGAGACAGTGGGACAGGAAGACAGAGGGACAGGGAGACAGTGGGACAGGGAGACAGAGGGACAGGGAGACAGAGGGACAGGGAGACAGTGGGACAGGGAGACAGAGGGACAGGGAGACAGGGAGACAGTGGGACAAAGAGACAGAGGGACAGGAAGACAGAGGGACAGGGAGACTGAGAGACAGGGAGACAAAGGGACAGGGAGACAGAGGGATAGGAAGACAGAGGGACAGGGAGACAGAGGGACAGGGAGACAGAGGGACAGGGAGACAGAGACAGGGAGACAGAGGGACAGGGAGACAGAGGGACAGGGAGACAGAGGGACAGGGAGACAGGGAGACAGAGGGACAGGGAACAGAGGGACAGGGAGACAGGGAGACAGAGGGACAGGGAGACAGGGAGACAGAGGAACACGGAGACTGAGAGACAGGGAGACAGAGGGATAGGAAGACAGAGGAACAGTGAGACAGAGGAACAGGGAGACAGAGGGACAGGGAGACAGAGGGACAGGGAGACAGAGGGACAGGGAGACTGAGAGACAGGGAGACTGACAGACAGGGAGACAGAGGAACAGGGAGACAGCGGGACAGGGAGACAGTGGGACAGGGAAATAGAGGGACAGGGAGACAGAGGGACAAGGAGACAGAGGGACAGGGAGACAGAGGGACAGGGAGACAGGGAGACAGGGAGGAGACATGGGACCTTCGTTTTTCTCCTGGTTCTCGGGGAGGAGCTCTCCATCTTTGAGCCACTCGATGGAGGAGGCCGGGAACCCCCGACTCGCAATGCACGTGGCCACCTTCACAGCGCACACGCACGCAGAAGCACGCACACCAACATGCACACACAGACGCACACATGCAGATACACACGCAGACCCAGACGCACACATGCAGATGCACACACGCATACACGCACACCCATCTACCATTTACAGCCCTGCACAGCGAACCCAGTGGTGGGAGGGCGAGCCTATCGAAAGAACAACGGCTGATGATATTCCCATTTACAAATATGCTACTCGATGTATCGACCTTCCTTAAATTCCCCCCTAAATGACGACTCACCAAGTACCCCTCCCCGCCCCCCTCTTCCGTCCCCCCCTCCCCCCCACCCACCTTTCCGGGCTCGTGGAGGACTCCGATAGAGGCTGTCGAGGCCTTGATGGTGAGCTCCGGATTTTCTGAGATGCAAACGAAAGCAAAATGGCAAACAGAGCTCAGGAGCGGGAGTCATTACGCCACGACACAGGGAATCCAGTGGGAAATCTGGCAGAGCCAGGACGGCCCAAGGAAGTGTAGATCACAGAGCTACCTCCGAGATCCGCTTCTCCTTCGAGTGAACTCTCTCTTCTACGCGGTAGATGGCAGCAATGCCCCACCCACTCGCTGTAGATATGTCTGCGTCCCAGGTGTCTAGTGCCTCGTTTTAGATCAACAGGATTATCAGGAATAATCCACAGCGTCGAGCGTCGGGTCCAGAGCATCGAGCGTCTAGTCCGCAGCATCTCGTCCACAGGGTCTAGTCCACAGCGACTAGCGGCTAGTTCAGTGTCTAGTCCACAGCGACTAGCGGCTAGTTCAGTGTCTAGTCCACAGCGACTAGCGGCTAGTTCAGTGTCTAGTCCACAGCGTCGAGCGTCTAGTCCAGAGCATCTAGCGTCTAGTCCGCAGCATCTAGTCCACAGTGTCTAGTCCACAGCGACTAGTGGCTAGTCCTCAGTGTCTAGTCCACAGCGTCGAGCGTCTAGTCCAGAGCATCTAGCATCTAGTCCGCAGCATCTAGTCCACAGTGTCTAGTCCACAGCGACTAGCGGCTAGTTCACAGTGTCTAGTGGCTAGTCCACAGCGACTAGTGGCTAGTCCACAGTGTCTAGTGGCTAGTCCACAGTGTCTAGTCCACAGTGACTAGCGGCTAGTTCACAGTGGCTAGTCCACAGCGTCTAGTGGCTAGTCTACAGTGGCTAGTCCACAGCGTCTAGTGGCTAGTCCACAGTGTCTAGCAGCTAGTTCAGTGTCTAGTCAACAGCGTCTAGTGGCTAGTTCACAGTGTCTAGTCTACAGCGACTAGTGGCTAGCCCACAGTGTCCAGTCCACAGCGTCTAGTGGCTAGTTCACAGTGTCTAGTGGCTAGTTCACAGTGTCCAGTCCACAGCGTCTAGTGGCTAGCCCACAGTGTCTAGTGGCTAGTTCACAGTGTCTAGTCAACAGCGTCTAGTGGCTAGCCCACAGTGTCCAGTCCACAGCGTCTAGTGGCTAGTTCACAGTGTCTAGTCTACAGCGACTAGTGGCTAGTTCACAGTGTCTAGTCAACAGTGTCTAGTGGCTAGCCCACAGTGTCCAGTCCACAGCATCTAGTGGCTAGTTCACAGTGTATAGTCAACAGCGTCTAGTGGCTAGTCCAGTGTCTAGTGGCTAGTCCACAGTGTCTAGTCAACAGCGTCTAGTGGCTAGGTCCACAGTGTCTAGTGGCTAGTCCACAGCGACTAGCGGCTAGTTCACAGTGTCTAGTCAACAGCGTCTAGTGGCTACTCCACAGTGTCTAGTCAACAGTGTCTAGTGGCTAGTCCACAGTGTCTAGTCCACAGCGTCTAGTGGCTAGTCCACAGTGTCTAGTCCACAGCGTCTAGTGGCTAGTCTACAGTGGCTAGTCTACAGTGTCTAGTGGCTAGTCTACAGTGGCTAGTCTACAGTGTCTAGTGGCTAGTCTACAGTGTCTAGTCCACAGCGTCTAGTGGCTAGTCCACAGTGTCTAGTCCACAGTGTCTAGTCCACAGCGTCTAGCAGCTAGTCTACAGTGGCTAGTCCAGTGTCTAGTAGCTAGTCTACAGTGTCTAGTGGCTAGTCCACAGTGTCTAGTGGCTAGTCTACAGTGGCTAGTCAACAGCGTCTAGTGGCTAGTCCACAGTGTCTAGTGGCTAGTCTACAGTGGCTAGTCCACAGTGTCTAGTCCACAGCATCTAGTGGCTAGTTCACAGCATCTAGTGGCTAGCCCACAGCATCTAGTGGCTAGCCCACAGCGTCTAGTGGCTAGTCCAGTGTCTAGTCCACAGCGTCTAGTGGCTAGTCTACAGTGTCTAGTCAACAGCATCTAGTGGCTAGACTACAGTGGCTAGTCAACAGCGTCTAGTGGCTAGTCCACAATGTCTAGTCCACAGCGTCTAGTGGCTAGTCTACAGTGGCTCGTCCGCAGCGTCTAGTGGCTAGTCTACAGTGGCTAGTCAACAGCGTCTAATGGCTAGTCCACAGTGTCTAGTGGCTAGTCTACAGTGGCTAGTCCACAGTGTCTAGTGGCTAGTCTACAGTGGCTCGTACGCAGCATCTAGTAGCTAGTCTACAGTGGCTAGTCAACAGCGTCTAGTGGCTCGTCCACAGGGTCTAGTAGCTAGTCTACAGTGGCTAGTCCACAGTGTCTAGTCTGCAGCGTCTAGCATCTAGCCCACAGTGTTTAGTCCGCAGTGTATAGTGGCTATTCCACAGCGTCTAGTGGCTAGTCTACAGTGGCTAGTCCACAGCGTCTAGTGGCTAGTCTACAGTGGCTAGTCCACAGCGTCTAGTGGCTAGACTACAGTGGCTAGTCCACAGCGTCTAGTCCACAGAGTCTAGCGTCTAGTCTGCAGAGTCTCATTCGCAGCGTCTAGCGGCTTGTCTGCAGCGTCTAATCTGCAGCAATTAGTCCACAGCGTTTAAGTCCACAGTGTCTTAGTCATCAGCGTCTTAGTCAGCAGCGTCTTAGTCAGCAGCTTCTTAGTCCGCAGCTTCTTAGTCCGCAGCATCTAGCATCTCGTCCACTGCGTCTTAGTCAGCAGCGTCTTAGTCCGCAGCATCTAGCATACTCTTTGGTTCTATTCGGTAAAGTCACGTAGGTAAAAAAATAAAATAACAAAAATCACGACGTTCCGGCCACAACACAAGTGGCCTTCATCAGGTGAAGGGACCGTGCTGTCATGAGGACAGCGTTGGAGTGAAAACAGCCAAGCCCAGGTCGCGTCCTTTAAGCTGTGTGGGAGGAAGCAAAACGCTATGACAAAGGAATTAGCATAAAAATGAGCATGATGTACGTAGGAGGTGCATGGGCCATGATGGACCAGGAGCGGGTGGGGACCATGACGGACCAGCAGCGGGGGGGGGGGGGGAGTAGAGTGAGTGAGTGGAGTGAGTGAGTGGAGTGAGTGGGTGGAGTGAGTGAGTGGGTGGAGTGAGTGAGTGGGTGGAGTGAGTGGAGTGAGTGAGTGAGTGGGTGGAGTGAGTGGAGTGAGTGAGTGAGTGGAGTGAGTGAGTGGAGTGAGTGAGTGAGTGGAGTGAGTGAGTGGAGTGAGTGGGTGGAGTGAGTGAGTGGAGTGAGTGAGTGAGTGGAGTGAGTGGGTGGAGTGAGTGAGTGGAGTGAGTGAGTGAGTGGAGTGAGTGAGTGGAGTGAGTGAGTGGAGTGAGTGAGTGGAGTGAGTGATGTGGGGAGTGAGTGGGTGGAGGAGTGAGTGGGTGGAGGAGTGAGTGGGTGGAGGAGTGAGTGGGTGGAGGAGTGAGTGGGTGGAGGAGTGAGTGGGTGGAGGAGTGAGTGGGTGGAGGAGTGAGTGGGTGGGGGAGTGAGTGGGTGGGGGAGTGAGTGGGTGGGGGAGTGAGTGGGTGGGGGAGTGAGTGGGTGGGGGAGTGAGTGGGTGGGGGAGTGAGTGGGTGGCGAGTGAGTGGGTGGGGGAGTGAGTGGGTGGAGGAGGGAGTGGTGGAGGAGTGAGTGGGTGGAGGAGTGAGTGGGTGAGGAGGGAGTGGGTGGAGGAAGGTGAGTGGGTGGAGGAGTGAGTGGGTGGAGGAGCTGAGTGGGTGGAGGAGTGAGTGGGTGGAGGAGTGAGTGGGTGGAGGGAGTGAGTGGGTGGAGGGAGTGAGTGGGTGGAGGGAGTGAGTGGGTGGAGGGAGTGAGTGGGTGGAGGAGGGGGGTGAGTGAGTGGAGTGAGTGAGTGGGTGAGTTGGAGTGGAGTGAGGTGGAGTGAGTGAGTGAGGTGGAGTGAGTGAGTGGAGTGGAGTGAGTGAGTGGAGTGGAGTGAGTGGAGTGAGTGGAGTGAGTGAGTGGAGTGGAGTGAGTGGAGAGAAATAAGCAGTTGTGAAAGTTTGGGATACCACTACTTGAAAAAATATATTGTACCATTGAAAATTAGTTTAATATTTGGTTTGATTTAGAACATGTTTCAATTATTGCTTAATTTGAAACCATCCTCTCGGTTGAAATTGTGTCAGTGTTTGTAAATCTGAATTGCTTCGTGGACAAATCTCTGATAAAAAAAACCCCCGTGGGTTTTGCGTCCTTTAAGTTGTGTGGGAGGAAACAAAACGCTTTGACAAAGAAATTAGCATAAAAATGAGCATGAGGTACGTAGGAGGTGCATGGACCATGATGGACCAGGAGCGGGTGGGGACCATGACGGACCAGCAGCGGGGGGGGGGGGGAGAGTGAGTGGAGTGAGTGAGTGGAGAGAAATAAGCAGCTGTGAAAGCATCTAGCATCTCGTCCACAGCGTCTAGTCCGCAGCGTCTTAGTCCGCAGCGTCTTAGTCAGAAGCGTCTTAGTCAGAAGTGTCTAGGCCCCAGCGTCTTAGTCAGAAGCGTCTTAGTGAGCAGCGTCTTAGTCAGCAGCGTCTTAGTCCGCAGCGTCTTAGTCCGCAGCGTCTTAGTCCGCAGCGTCTTAGTCAGAAGCGTCTTATACAGAAGTGTCTAGGCCCCAGCGTCTTAGTCAGAAGCGTCTTAGTGAGCAGCGTCTTAGTCAGCAGCGTCTTAGTCAGCAGCGTCTTAGTCAGAAGCGTCTAGTCCGCAGCGTCTTAGTCCGCAGCGTCTTAGTCCGCAGCGTCTTAGTCCGCAGCGTCTTAGTCAGACGCGTCTTAGTCAGAAGTGTCTAGGCCCCAGCGTCTTAGTCAGAAGCGTCTTAGTGAGCAGCGTCTTAGTCAGCAGCGTCTTAGTCCGCAGCGTCTTAGTCCGCAGCGTCTTAGTCCGCAGCGTCTTAGTCAGAAGCGTCTTAGTCAGAAGTGTCTAGGCCCCAGCGTCTTAGTCAGAAGCGTCTTAGTGAGCAGCGTCTTAGTCAGCAGCGTCTAGTCCGCAGCGTCTTAGTCCGCAGCGTCTTAGTCCGCAGCGTCTTAGTCAGCAGCGTCTTAGTCAGCAGCGTCTTAGTCAGAAGCGTCTAGTCCGCAGCGTCTTAGTCAGCAGCGTCTTAGTCAGCAGCGTCTTAGTCAGCAGCGTCTTAGTCAGCAGCGTCTAGTCCGCAGCGTCTTAGTCAGCAGCGTCTTAGTCAGAAGCGTCTAGTCCGCAGCGTCTTAGTCAGCAGCGTCTTAGTCAGCAGCGTCTTAGTCAGCAGCGTCTTAGTCAGCAGCGTCTTAGTCAGAAGCGTCTAGGCCCCAGCGTCTTAGTGAGCAGCGTCTAGGCCCTAGCGTCTCGCGTCTGTTCTGCAGCCCCCTTGCTCGCACGCGCCTCGGCGTGGCGCCCCGCTCCGCCCCCGCGTCGCTCACTGTAGACGCGGATCTGGGTGGACGCCTCGCTGGAGCCCAGCTGCTTTGCCGACACCTGGCACACGAGGACGCCCTCGTCCAACGTGCGTACGCGCTGCAGCACCAGCGAGTTGTCGGGCCGCAGCGAGACGTGCTCGCTCTTCCCCGGCACCGTGTCCACCACGTACTCGTGCGGCTCCTCGCGGTACACCAGGCGCGTCCTCCTGCCGGAGTCGTCCGCCTACAGGGCGAGGGAGGGTGCCGACGCGGGGTTGGCGGTGAGGATTGGCGGGGAGGGTTCGAAAAACGGACCGGTCCCAGGATGACGGTGCTACCGGTGTTTCTGACGATGGTGGCGATGGTGCTGGCTGTGATGGTGGCAATGGTGGAAATGGTGCTGCCGGTGGTGATGGTGCTGCCAGCCTCACCATGAACCACTGCACGATGATGGGAGGCCGAGCGGTGGCCGGCGGCACCGTGAGGGTGTATGTGCATGGGACGACGGCGTCCGCCCCGAGCTCCACGTCCACATTCTCCGGAGAGGAAACCTGAAGATCCGCTCCAAAGGCTGCTCCCACAGAGAGGCAAATGCAAAGATAAAGATTCCCCCCCACCCGACTCCGTGTGGCACGCGCAGGCTGGGGATCAAACCCAGGACCTTCTGTGCAGCAGCCGAGAGAGGTAAAGTCTCCAAGCCACCGTGGCACCCCGAGTCTGTGAGTGACACTGAGCGGGAGCCGGTGATGTGACGACGGTTCTAGGGAAGGCCTTCATCCAGCAGTGGATTGACCATGGCTGATGATGATGATGATGATGTCACACCGTGAGATATGACGATGGCCTTGTATCTCCACTGTGTTTGCTCAAGGGATCAGCTGGCAGGAGTTCACTTGAGCCGCTCTGGCGAGGTCACCTCTAAAATGACCTCCCGCAAACCTTGCCAGGCGAATCGGCAGCACTCCGACTGTGCCCCTTGCGTTCACCATTCTCTGCATTGTTAGCATCATCCTCAAATGAGTACCCTGGTGCGGTGTGTCAACGTCGCTAGCGGGGAGACAAAGGCGGCCGGGCGGGCGTGTTGCTGGCCACCCACCCTCCTCGTGCGCCACGGTGCCGGCCTTCACAAGCGCTCACTAACAGCACTTGCCCCAACAGCGTGTAAGGCTATACGGGGGAACTTTGCATTTGTGTGCGATGCCGCACAATGGGAGGGAACAAGGCGGAGCATCTGGGAAGTTTGTCTCGGTTCAGCACGGTTGGCTACGTACGGTGGTAAAGAAGTTCAACGTGCGCACACACAGACACGAAGGGGTCGAGCGTGAGGCCTGCACTGCGCGTGCCTGGGTAGAGGAGCTGCGATCGCCATCTGCCACTCATCTCGGCTAAAGTCACAACACGTGGTAGGGTCTCTGCCCGCGCAACTCCCGCCAGCCTTCCACATTGCACGCGAAGGCTCCCAGGTGCACCTCGCCTGACGACAACGCCGTGGTCAGGCGGAGTGTGTAATGTGTGCGTGCGTGTATGTCTGATGTGTGTGTGTGAGCGAGTGTGTCTGAATAAGTGCGTGGTTGTGTACCTGAGTGTACGTCTGATGTGTGTGTGTGCACGAGTGTGTCTGAATTGGTGTGTGTGCGTGCATGAGTGTCTCACTCCCAATCAGTCCGGCGGCAATATCTTTTCATCGGTTGCGTAACGCTGTGTGGAAGCTACCTGGTCTGTCGCTCCGCACTAAGCTTCAGGTCTTCTCGGCCACGGTCATTCCCTCCCTTCTCTACGCTTGCGAAACGTGGACCCCCTTAAATGGAGCATCTTCGCCGGTTGGAAACATTTAGGCTGGCCTGCCTACGATCCATCCTGGGTTTAACCAGGCTGGATTGTGTGAGGAGCTCACAAATCCTTGAAAGATCTGGGCAAGGTCCCATCGGTGAGCTCCTCCGGCAGGCAAGGCTGCGTTGGCTGGGTCATGTAGCCCACATGCCCAGCCACCGCATGCCGAAACAGCTTCTGTTCGGCCGGATCGAGGGGGCTAAACGGGCGCGGCACGGGCTAGAGAAGAGATGGAGTGATGTGGTACAGGAGGACGTGGAGCTGAGTGGACTTGCCGATGACTGGTACCAGCGGTGTCAAGATCGGCCTCTGTGGAGGAGGCTCGTGAAGGACGCTATTGGGCAGTTGGAGGCAGTCGCCCTCCAACAACAACGGAGGGCGGAGGAGTGACGCTCACAACAACGAGCGGAGCGCCGGGTGGCTAAAGCACAGCAGGTTGGCACAGTAGGGGGCACAGGTGGTGCATCAGCCAGTCATCTCCGTCATCTTAGTCAGTCGACCCGTGGCACCTGGGTCTGCCCCGTGACCTCCTGCCCGCGGGCGTTCGACACTTCACGTGGCCTCAAGGTGCACATGGCCTGGCACAAGCGTCGTGGTGACGTCACCGCCACTTAGTGGCGAATGGCGGTTGTTGTTGTATGTCTGATGTGTGTGTGTGCACAAGTGTGTCTGAATTAGTGTGTGCGTGCATGAGTGTATGTCTGATGTGTGTGTGTGTACGAGTGTGTCTGAATGAGTGCATGTGTGTGTGCGGCAGCAGTGTTTGTTTGATCTGAGTGTGTGTACAGGGAGTAAGTGTAGCGGTTAGCGCTAAGCCGCGCTACGAATCCGGCGATCAAAGTTTGATTCCTGCTCACGGCCAACACCAGTGACGATTATCTGAACCGGTCCTGGACCTCCCCGAGGTCGACTCAGCCTCAAATTAGTACGTGGTTGGGTGTATAAACATCACCACAGGGGAGAAAAAGGCGGTCGGGCTTGGTGCTGGCCACCCACCCCACCGTGTGCCATTCCAGCCTTCATAGGTGCTCGCTAGCAGCACTTGCCCCTACAGTCTGTTAAGGCTATACGGGGGATCTTTGTGTGTGTGTGCAGAGTCTATGTGTGTACACGAGTGTGTGTGACTGTGGATATATGACTGCATGAGGGAGTGTGTGAGTGAGAGATTGAGAGACGATGAGAAAGGAGGAAACTCTGCACAGCCTTTGGACGTGACGGTCGGTCCTGGTCATTATATTTAAATCATCATCATCATCATAATGTAGCGGCGTATGTTCATTCCCTGGCTCCTGACTGAATAGAGAGGCTCGAGAGGGGTTTGCAGTCGGTGGGGGCGTGTGACTGAGACCCACAGTGAATACCCAAAGCTGTCATTGTGTCCCTGTGACGTCTCTGATGACTGATCTCACTCAGTGGCCCCTTCTCTCCACGGACAGAGACAAAGATAAAGATCCCCCATATAGCCTTAACAGACTGTAAGGGCAAGTGCTGTTAGCGAGCACCTATGAAGGCCGGAAATGTACACGAGGGGGTGGGTGGCCAGCACCACGCCCGACCGCCTTTGTCTCCCTATTGGCAATGTTTACACACCGCACCAGGTACTCATTTGAGGCTGAGTCGACCTAGGGGAGGCCCGGGACCGGTTCAGATAATCGTCACTGGTGTTGGCCGTGAGCGGGAATCGAACCCGGGTCGCCAGGTTCATAGCGCAGCGCGCTAACCGCTACACTATCGCTCCCCACACGGACAGAGACACACACACACAGGCACAGACGTGCAAAGACAAAGATTCCCCGAATAGCCACACGGGTTGTCGGAGCAAGTGCTGTTAGCGAGCGGTACCTATGTGGGCCGGGGATGTGGCGTGGCCTGAACAACCACGCCTGGCTACCTTTGTCTCTCCCCAGTGCTGATGCTTACACACTGCACCAGGTTCTCGATGGAAGCCCAGTCAACCTAGGGGAGGCTCAGGACAGGTAGCAAGATTCACGACCGATACTGGCGGTTAGCAGAAATCGAACTCTGCACTCCGGGATCGTCGAGTGCATCGCGCTAACCATACCCCCACCACTCCCGACATACATAAATACAAAGTAACCCGCATACACACACAGACACACATACAATTATACTCAAGACAGAGCCACATACACACAGGCATAGACATGTAGAGACAGGCACACGTTACAAACACACACACACACGTAACACTCAGTTTAGGACGACCCCATTACATAGACATTTAGGATTCCATTTTTCGACAACTTAAATACCTTTGTGAAAAAAAAGTAATTTCCTTCGGTAAAGTTATTAAATGACTCTCAAGAAACGGGATGAAAAAAAAACTTGAAGGAGCATAGTGGCCAGGACATCCTGAGTCGCAACCCCAAGGTGAAGAGAGAATGGCTCCGACTCCCAGCGACGCAGCTTCACTGGGGCCCAACCCACCCCACTAAGGGGTCCTTGACGATTGTGAGCAGGGGAGGTCAGGGGCCCCGAAAGCACGACGAATAACTCAGAGCACCGGTCTATTGATGGTATCATAGGCAATGGCCGGGTCAATAAATCAGAAATGTAATTCCTGGTTAAATCCATCACGGCTGTAGCAGACGGATAGATAAATAGCGTCTGTGCAGGACCGCCCTAGCCTATGAAACCACAATAGGGCTCCACAAGCCTCATCCGGGCACAGTGCCTTTTTCCGCCTTAAATTGAGGAGGGAGATACCTCGGAAGTTGTTGCAATCGGTGCGGTCTCCCTTCCAGGAAGGAGAAGCCACCAGGACATCGTCGAAATCCTGCGGAATTCGTCCCGTGGACCAGGCAGTTGTAATGATGTCACATACAGTGAGGGAAAAAAGTATTTGATCCCCTGCTGATTTTGTACATTTGCCCACTGACAAAGAAATGATCAGTCTATAATTTTAATGGTAGGTTTATTTGAACAGTAAGAGACAGAATAACAACAACAAATCCAGAAAAACGCATGTCAAAAATGTTATAAATTGATTTGCATTTTAATGAGGGAAATAAGTATTTGACCCCCTCTCAATCAGAAAGATTTCTGGCTCCCAGGTGTCCACAGAAGCAATCAATCAATCAGATTCCAAACTCTCCACCATGGCCAAGACCAAAGAGCTCTCCAAGGATGTCAGGGACAAGATTGTAGACCTACACAAGGCTGGAATGGGCTACAAGACCATTGCCAAGCAGCTTGGTGAGAAGGTGACAACAGTTGGTGCGATTATACGCAAATGGAAGAAACACAAAAGAACTGTCAATCTCCCTCGGCCTGGGACTCCATGCAAGATCTCACCTCGTGGAGTTGCAATGATCATGAGAACGGTGAGGAATCAGCCCAGACCTACACGGGATGATCTTGTCAATGATCTCAAGGCAGCTGGGACCATTGTCACCAAGAAAACAACTACGCCGTGAAGGACTGAAATCCTGCAACGCCCGCAAGGTCCCCCTGCTCAAGAAAGCACATATACATGCCCGTCTAAAGTTTGCCAATGAACATCTGAATGATTCAGAGGACAACTGGGTGATAGTGTTGTGGTCAGATGAGACCAAAATGGAGCTCTTTGGCATCAACTCAACTCGCCGTGTTTGGAGGAGGAGGAATGCTGCCTATGACTCCAAGAACACCATCCCCACCGTCAAACATGGAGGTGGAAACATTATGCTTTGGGGGTGTTTTTCTGCTAAGGGGACAGGACAACTTCACCGCATGTACCGT